TATAAATCATTAAATATGATTTTAAAATTATCATTGTTTTTAATTAACTTTTTAATATTAATTAATTATATTATTAGTAAAGATGAAAATATATAATAATTCTAAAATATTATAAGATTACTAAAACAAGATTACACTGATTTTTCTGAAAAATAAGTCTTGTGTTATCAAAAATAAGTCATATTCGAACCACGTAGTTTAAAACTTTTTAAAAATGTTAAAAATAAAACAATGATAAAAAAATCTATGCAAGGAGAAATTTTAAAACATAACTAAAATAAAAGGGCGAAAAAAACAAATTATAACTACTCTATTTACTTATCATATTTACTACTAGTTACTACAAATTAGTTTTGTAAATTATTAATACTTTATATTTTTTTTAAATAATAACGATTAATAAATAAATACTTAATAATTCAAATATAATTCAAAGATACAATAAAATAACTTAAATTGCAATTACAATAATATGAAATGATAATATTCAATTAATTTACATATTTCGTATTAAAGAGTCAACTAATAATAGATTATAAACAAATCTATATAAATAAATTATATAGAAATATAAAACTTCCAGTAAAAAAAATTAGTTCAAAAATATACGTTTTGTTCATTGTACATTTTCCCAAGAATCATATAATTATTTTCAATATATTAATAATATTTTTTAACGTATTTGTTTAATATACTGAAAGTTATTCAATATCTCTTAAGAAGTTTCAAGTTTAGCAAAAAAATATATAAAAGTCAACAGAAAATTTATTTGAAAATGCACATTATTTTCAGCACTCTATCAATAAATATATAATACCAATCAATAAACAAAATTATTTAGCCATCATAAGTTGTAAAAATAAATTCACTTAAAAATTTTTTAATCGTTTAATTTCAGAGCAATATCTACCTTGTAAAACACCTTGTATAACATGTACCAAATTTCATCAGCTTGTTATATTTATTTATTCGCTTTCTTAAAACTACACTTCACTGATTCTTTTGTTGAGTTTTTACAAATACTCAGTTTACTTCTTGAAGTTTGATGAAAATTTTTATTTGCAATTTGTATTGGGACGTGCGCTACTGAGGACGTTTAATTGATTTATATTATGAAAATAGAAAAATAAACTACATATTGTTTAAAGTAGTTAATTACAAAGGTTGCATTTATTTTTTAAGCCTCATTTTTTAACATGAAACTTAAATAATTATAAAATAAATACATTTTATTGAAATAAATGAAAATTACTTTTTGTGAGAATGAATATTATAAATTAAATTAAGTAACATCTTTATATACAAATCGACATACGTTCATTATCAAAAATGGATTTTATTAAGCCCTTAAAAAATTACACATAAATGAAGAAAAACATATTATTTTATGTAAAGTCCTTTGGGATCTAAGAAGCTCATACGAGAACTCTCAACAGATAACCTAATTTAAATACAAAAAATTAATGATGGACATGAACTATAACTTCAATGAAAAGGGAAAAAGACAGATAAAATATGATGAAATCAGCGTAAAATGCGTTCTCTGTGATAAAAATCACAAAAAAAGATCCAAAAAATATTCATCCTTAATTTAAATATCCTATTATCATAGAACATAAATACCCGATTAAATTAGTAGCTTAATTTGCATTTTGAATATATATTCATTATTGCTTACAGAATACAAAAAATTCACTTATATACCGTTTTTTTCAAAACGAAGCAAATAGAAAAAAAATCTCAACTTTTAATAAATCGATAAATTAGAATAAAAAGCAAACGCTGACAATACTTAAAGAAAAGGAATAAATTGAGATTATTTTTCTGTTATTAACCTCCAGACAAATATATGAGTAACTCATTAAAAGACGATTGACACAATCGATCTTTCATAATTTGATTCAATAATTCTAAGCATTCTTAATTAATTGTTTATTTACACATAAAAACTTCTTTTGCTTTGATAATTATAAACTAGAAATGATGAAAGATATCATATAACAATTACTATTATACAAAACTTATAATATCAATCAGAACGTCCACACACATTATTAAATAAGGTTTTATAGTTTTCAAAATAATTTTCAAAATAATAAATATGTTATCAATAATATTATATATTTTATTTAGAGATGCAAAAAACTGTAAAAAAATATAATAAAAGAAAACATGGACATCACTTTTCTTACTAAATTATGGCAACCATTAAAGAAATAGGGCTATTTAAGACAATTGCAAGTGTGCAATGCTGAGTCAGTACATAGAGCAAAGAGGAAGAGTATTTAGTATTGCGTGTTTTATTGTACAATCTTTAAGTCCGCGATAACAGTAGTCACTGTGATTATACCCACTGACCTCGTAGTTCGAGAAAAATTGCATGTACTAGAAATAAGCTACTCGGCACAACAACTACAGAAATTTCTAGAACTTGCACGAGTCGTTTCTATCAAGATAGACGAACAGTTTAATTAATATATTGACTGAAAACATATATCAATCATGTACATATCAAAGCAAATTATTTGAAATTAGTTTTACCAGAATGTGCAGACTACATTATTTTGTCTTTAATAATTAGAAAAGATTGGATATAATCTTTATTAAAAGCATCGAATAATATCTTAAATGAATATATTTTTTTATTAAATATGAATAGTGTTCCATCATAATATTCTTTACATTTATTTCGCTTATAATTATTTTATGTCACATCTATTAGGTATCGATACAGAAATTTACTTATTAGATATCTATTACTTAGAATTTTGGCTAAGAACAATATTTATAAATTCTTCAGTTTATGTAAACATGACTGCATTCATACATTGAAAATGATCCCTTAGTATATTCAATAAAAAGGATAAATAATAGGATAAGTAATAGTAAATGATAGTTAAAGTATATAAGCACTACTTAAGGAAATTATATAATAAAAGGGATTTTTAGTAAAAATAACAAACTTAATGTATGATACCAAGTGCGTTCGTAAATTTATATTAAACAATCATTTAAATATCTAGATTAGATATTATTTCAAGCTAACATATTGAAAATAAATATAGGATAGTACATAACTTTCAAGTATAATATTTTTTGGCAGGGTCATGGACAATGCTGATAGTTATTGAATTTACAAAGGACAACTTATACTTTATAAAACTGAGATCTATATTGAGATACTACATTATGACAAATTCTCCAAGGGCAGGACCGTAATCGTATATAAAAGACTCATATTGACTCCTTCCTACTCGCTTTTGAAAGTCACATGTACCTAGTTTACTCGAATATATGAGTTCTTATTTATTAAATTTAATAATAACCATATATAATAAAATTATAAACATCTACAAATAAATAAAAGTCTACTTTATTAATTTATAATTATGTTATCATTGTAAATAAAAAATAAAAAATAAAATATACAATAAAAAATAAAACAATAAAAAATACATTAGCATAGCAAAAAAATGAGAGAAAAATTAAGTTGATATATAACATAGCTATATATATAGCATATTGTCAATTTACAATATTCAAGAAATGAATAAATTAACTATACCTGATAATAAGTATGTTATTATAATCACTATACTATTAAATTACTATAGTATTATAATCCTTCATTTAATAATACCCTTTCAATGTTTTTTAATTATGAAAAATGACAAACTATATACAAAAAAGAATAATAAATATTTAGAGTTTATGTATCTCATTTATCTATATTCTTTGATTCTTCATTAAAATTGTAAATATACAAAAGTACATATACGCACAGTACATATAATATATAAATACATATTTTAAAAACAAAAACAATTTTATACTATTATATAGCAAAGCTTACATAAATATTGTATTATTAGAAAATAGAACATAACTCCGAAGAGATAAAAAAGCTAGTATCTTCTTGGAAAATAAAACAAGCACAGAAAAAACGTGAAAGGTGTGCTAAAATAAATCTAAATTAAAAAGACTAAAGTATAAAACACTTTTTTATATTTTGTAAAGTAATATTCAAACTACATGTGCGGAAAATAATCTGTGAATAGAAAATAAAATATGTTTTCCCTTCGATAATAAAGAAAAATGGTACATTGATGTGCTTAAATAGATAATGTAAGATATTTATTAATTAATTACAAATTTGATTTAGATTAAATTTTTTTTACACTGTATGTAAATTCACAAAAGTTATAATCGAATAAATAAAAATTAAATGAAAACTAAAAATTTTGCGGTTATATTTTCATTGCTTAGCTTATAATCACTATCCTATAAGCTTATTTACTATAAGAATTTTGTCAATAAATAATTATAATTTAAATAAAAATTGTAGCATCTCATGAATCTTCAAATATTCTTTCACTATTGATTCTTCACTGTCATTATCATAATGTACGCTTACATAAAAATTTACGTTTCTGGCAGTGCTTTGATTTTGTACTTACTAAGCGTTTGTACATTTATTCAAATTGCCATAAAATGATTATCTTTTTGGATAAAAAAAACCTAATTCGTGTCCGCAGGTAATCAACAATGTTCAATAATGGTCGACAAATCAAACATTTTAAAAATATGAAAATTTCCACGACGTATTAAAATAATCAAAAATGAATTGAAATTCAATGCACCACTGCATGTTGTTCGCAGGCACCGAACGTCTTTGGTGAAGGGTGAAGCAGTGGTGGCTGCAGCGGCGGCATCGGTAACAGCAACGACGACGGCGACGGCAACGGCAAATCCACGAACAAAAATTCGAACCACTGGCGGTTGAGTTTAAGGATTCAGAGGAGAGGGGTGGAGGCCAAGAGCAAAGATCGCAGCTGAACTGGCAGAACGCCGAAGGCCGCCGACGCACCGCAATCGCCGGCTCCTCGGCATCGGCTGCAGCGTCGGCGGTAGCGTCGGCGGCAGCGGCAAGATCAACGGTGCATGGACTTCTCTATTGGGATTTCTCCTCGTAGCAGCGCTACTGGGGGAAACCAGCGGCAGCTACCGTGTCGAAAGCACCACATCCGCTGCCGTGAGCGACGGCTTTCCTGGACAGAATGACGCTCTGCGAGCCACTATTGGTATCGCTGCCATCAGCACTGCCAGTAGCGCTACTCGTTATTACGACTCGGTTCGCATGCTACTTCGACACATAAAGGTTTGATACTCTGTTCACTTTCACTGGCACGTGATATGCTCCTCATGCTTCATTATGCTTCAGTACAATCTATCACCAATCGATATTTACTTTCATCATTTATTTTCTTGCGCAGTTAAAAATTGTCCGATGAAGGTTTTCTAGTCTCTGAATAGTTAATTAGAATTTATTCATGAATTCGACATAATAATTGAACTTTCACTTTCATGTAAGACCTCAATTTTATCACTATTATGCGCTTTTATTATTAAACAATTGTATTTCTTATTTCACAACTTTAAATAGTAACTTATTGCATTCTACGTTTGATCAACTATTTTTATAGAAGCATTCAGTTTTTACGATTATATTCCATTATATTTTAATATTAATTTTAAGTACCTTTGAAATTATTCTCAAAAACATTGATGAAATTAAAAGATAAAATTAATAATTAATTATAAATGTTTTTTTAGTCATCAATCGAGTATTTCTTAGAATACAAGCCTTCAAGAAAATTCTAAATATTTACATCTTCAATTTGCGATTGTCTCCAACCGGTGTAATAAATTAATCAATTAATCATTATGATGTTATTAATAGAAATATTAAAACATTATGTGTATTGAAACATGTAAATAAATTACATTTAACCTGAAAGTAAGTGCGAAATAAATAATTTCAAAAAGCATTGAGTCAATGAAAACTACCAACGAATTGCAAGATTTTTCTTTACCTATTATCAAATTATTATATAAATGCATATATGGTATATTTACATAAAAACACACACATTCAGAAAGACACTGAGAGAGAGAGAGAGAGAGAGAGAGAGAGAGAAGTAAACAAATATGCATCGAAGAAACTTGTTAAAATTTTCAAAACTTTAAACACTTTTACAAAAGTTATTAAATTTTTAAGTTCAATCAAATGCAGAAAAATAAAATTATAATGTAAATATGAAGACATAAAAGCTGGTCAGTTTGTATGAGAAGATTCTTATTTATGTTTCATTACATTCTATTACATTTCAAAGTTAAAATTTTAAACATAATTTACTCAAAACTACTATTTTAAAAATTGCTAGACATAATTACTTAAAAATTATTATACCATTCAAGTGTAAACTCTACGTACATTTAATTTTTTAAATCAGTGTTTGAAGAAACTATAATTCGAAATATAAAGTACAAATAAATAAATTTAAAGCATTCTTATATTACTTGAAAGACTAAAAAATCGATAACTATACCCACTATTTGCTACTTTGTGTAAATCATATTTATAATATACTCACAAATTTGGTTAATATCATTGAATTATTATAAAAATAAAACCACAACTTGCATTAACAAAATATATAATTAACAGTTCCTTGTGTAAGTTTGTACTTAGCACCACAGCGTATACAAGTATTTCAATAATCAAAGGTATCGATATAAATTTAATAAAAAAAAATTCTACTTTCAATCCTCTATTTTTCTAATATAATACTTATTATATAAAATATGTAAGATATATATAGTAAAAGAATAAAGGCCCAGAATGATTTGAGATTTTTCTAGTATTCAGTAAAAATTTAAAAAAAAAACAAAAATTAATTTTTTTTGTACTGAACGTATTAAAAATTTGTGAATGAAAAATATTTTAATCGTATATGAGAATTGAATTGAATTAAATGTAGAAAATTAAATATTCAGAAGCATGTTCATAAATATCCCAATTTTTATTATATTTCCAATGATAAAAAAGAAAATATAATGAAAACAGTCATCTTTATACATATGTATATATAATTAAGAAATTGACTTATAAGGTTCAAGAAATCCTTTTATGTGTAATTTTATCAGTTAAATGAGATTTTTAAAATATAGATTTAAGAACAATGTCCTTAAAATTTAGTATAGAATTCTTGTAGATATACAAAGCATATTTTTAAACTTACATAAAATAATTTATTCTAAGTCGATGAGTAAACATTCAAATATATTCATATTATATTTACTTATATTTAAATACATAAGCTAATAAATATAACTTTTCATAACTTCATACTTCATCTAGCTTCGTTTTATTAATGATTAAATAATAACTAATGACTAAGTAATATCATAAATATAAAATAATAATTTATTTAAAAACCAAATGATATTTCATTTGTAACAATTTTTATTTTATTTTAAGCAGAGATCAATTTATTATATATTAATATAATAATTAAATTGTCCTAAAACTATAATGCAATACTTCTGAATTATAGAACTTTTTAAACAAATCCTAAATATTCCAATATTTATTTATTTCGAGATAAATTATAGTATAGAGCAAATTATATAATTTAAATAATCTAAATATTCTAAAACCAGTAATCGATACCAATTTTCCCAATCCTTATATATATTAATTCTTATACATTGTTTGGAATTAAAAAATCTTTCTTCTTCAAAATTCATTATGAATAGAATAAATATAAATCAGAACTAAATATTCAATTATTTTTAATCTTAAATATTTTTTAAACACTTTTACAACATTTTTGTTTTCTTTAGTTTTATTTGATTTGTGTTGTTATTTTGTTTAACTAATCATAAAAATCATAGAGTTAGTTTAATTAATTTTTTTATAATTATTGCTTTTGTTGTTTACTATTCAAATAAATATAATATAACTTTAAATAAATATATTAAATATAATATAATATATTTAATACAATTATTATTATCTTTCTTCTACTATAAAACCATCTATAATATTAATAATATATATGTATTTGTACATATATAATTTATTACAGACACCACACTTATATATTGCGATTTGTAAAAAAAATCTATGGGGTACATGTAAATTACACCAATTTCATGTTGATATAAATATTTATTAATATAATTAAAAAAATTTTTATATTTTTTATATTTCGATTATTTTAAAGATCTAAGTATAAACTGCCTCTATCTCAATAATAGATAATGTTATATAAAATTCTTGAAATTAAAAAAGTAAATGATTTTAATTATAAAAGTATAAAAAATTATTTTATTTCGATTCTTAAATGCACCATACACAATTAAATTAAACGAATTAAAATTTATTTTAAATCTAATAGTAATATATAAACTTAAAAATTAATAGTAATTTATTTTGTAAGGCCAAGCTTTTTAAATACTAAAATTAATATTATGATTTTACGTAAAATATAAAACATTATTTAAATTAATTAATTGAGTACAACATATTTTATTTTAATAAAATAAAATTAATGTATTCATTAGTAAGACATTATGTAAACTAAATATCATTAATATTTATATATAATACCTTTACATGAATTTTTATATTTATTTATTGAATCTTAAACTTTGATTGAATATCGGATAATATTTAATTCTAAACTCCAAATATTTCCAATTAATAAAATAAATCATCACGGATCTATTATTTTCTATAAGTTATTAAATACTGCAAAAATATTGCATACGAAGTTAATTATTCTAAAATTATTATGCAATATAAATATAATAAATATTCGGCATTGAATGAATCTTTCTCTCTCTCTTTCTCTCTCTTATATTTAAATGTTATTATATCATTAATTTTCTTTTAATTAAATTAAAATTAAGACTGATTGAATAAAAATTTTGTTTCAAGAAAATTGATTTAATATACAGATTGTAGCTATTGTTTAAGCAAATACTTCACGTTGTCTAAGAATCAATTATTGGATAGTATGAAGTTATGATGATTTCGCGGCTCACTGACACGTTCTTTACTCGTACGTCTCGCTGATATTAATAAGTAAAATAATCATTTTTTACTAGGGGTAAATCACATTATATTTATCTTGAAGTAAAAAATAAAATAAATCTATAACCTTGTCTTTAACAAGTATCTGTGAAAGTTTTGAATACGTGATGAAAATATAAGTTTCATATTTGACTAAATTTTATAGATTGTGTTATTTCGTTCGATAGATTAATTAAAGTAATAAATTGTGAACACAATAAATTAAAAATAAAGAACTATGCAGCATATATTTTAACTATCATGTATTGTAAGCAAAGAAATGATTGCAAATAGTTTATAAAATTATTTAATGTTATCTATATAATCCAGGGCAGTATAATCTACAGTAAATGTTAAAATGAATTGCAATATAAATTAAAAGCATGAGAATTTACATCTCTATTAAGAAAATCTTTTTAAATTTAATTTTGTAGTACAACGAGTATCTAGCTGGAAACTCGCCACAGTTGACTAACCGGAATTTTGATCTCCTACTAGCCACTCATGAATATCATCATCTCAACGAAAATTCGGAAGTGTTAACAGGAGCACGAGTTCACCGAGTTGAACGAAGTATGCCCAAATCGTCTGAATCGTCGTTACATGTCGTTAACAGCAACAATAGCAATAAGCCGTACAAAAATACGTCGGCAACGGGAGACGAGATACCTAGTCGACGTATCGCTATGTCCTTGTCAGATGCCACAAACGAAACGGCGAACGCGACGCCAGGCGTAGGACCGTCAACCAGTGCCATAGTACCTGGCGTTGTATCTGGTACGGACGTTAACCAGTCAAGTATTAATAGTAATCAAACAGATTATCACCTCGAACATGCCATCGATGTATCCAGGTGCGTTACATTCCATGATTTTCATTTACACTTTACAATTCTTGCCTAAATATTGCCATTTTATAAAGTATAAGTCGTAAATTATGTAAAATTATGTCATTTAATTGTTAATTTTATTTTTAGAGCCATTATACTGGGCTGCATCCTTGGTACAATAATAGCTACGGCAGTGTTCGGTAATCTTCTCGTGATGGTATCCGTCATCAGGCATCGGAAACTCCGCATCATCACAAACTACTTTGTGGTTTCTTTGGCCCTGGCAGATATGCTCGTTGCCATGTTTGCTATGACCTTCAATGCAAGTGTTCAAATTACAGGCCACTGGCTCTTTGGCTATTTTATGTGCGACGTTTGGAATTCGCTCGACGTATACTTTAGTACCAGTTCCATTCTTCATCTCATGTTCATATCTGTAGATCGATACTACGCGATCGTCAAACCATTGAGTTATCCAATCAGTATAACAAAACGCGTTGCCATATATATGTTACTCGCCTGTTGGCTATCACCAGCAATAATATCGTTTGTACCAATTTTTAATGGATGGTATACAACCGAAGAGAACGATCATTTTCGACACACTCATCCAGATCAATGCATGTTCAAGGTTAGTCATATACTATTAAGTTCTTAGTGTATAAATAATTATATTTACTTTAAAAGTAATAAGGAAAGTATCATATTTTCACATGTTTAAATTATTAAAACTTACTTTTGGTATATTAGTATATTCAAAATAATATTAAGTAATTGAAATTACTTTTAACAGTCCAAAACTATTTCATATGTTTATTTTCAACTTTGTTACGCATTTTAGGTCAATAAAGGCTATGCTATATTGTCATCTAGTATATCCTTCTGGATACCTTGTACTATAATGACGCTAACATATCTAGCGATATTCAAAGAAGCAAATCGTCAAGAAAAACAGATGCACAGTCGAATGGGTAACGCCATGTTACTAAGTCATAGGCCCAGTAGGGATTTAAACAACGTCAACGGTGAACTCAATAGTGGGGGCGGTTCTTCAAAAACATTAACCCTTAATGAGGTCAGATAATAAGTAGATTAAACGAATTACAATAATTAAAATTCTATAAATAATTCAATTATTTATTTATTTATTTATTTATTTATTTTTGTAGCCTTATAAAATTATATTTATAACGGTGTGTAATTAATTATTATTTATTATTAATTATGATTTTATTGAATAAAATAATGCATTAGATGTATTTAGTGTAACGAAGCATAATCTAAGTTAATTTTATCATAACTTGTTGATTAAGTTAAAAAATAATTAATATATTCTAATTTAATTATATTTTATTCAATTAAATATTACTATAAAAGATTTTATATAATTTTTAAAACATAGACTTGTATAACTTTTTGAAAATAACTCACAAAATTATTTTTTGTACAGTTACATAATATTAATAACAATTTGAGACATAAGTACCTTAGAAAGTTTCCAAATAATAAAGACTTACTGTGAATAATAAATACTAATTGAAAAAATAGTATAAACCTATTCGAGAATTAAAAGCTCCTTTAATCCTAAAAAAATTCATTCTTATGTATATTAGGAATATATATATATATATATATATATATATCTATATAAGGAACTTAAATTTGAATATTTTAAAAAATATATGATTTTACTTGTTTTGAGGATATATATTTTGAAATTACATGGAATGACATTATATCACTCCTAATTAATATATTTATACAATTAATACGTAAACAATTACCATATAATGATAGGTCAGCGGAGCTGTAGAACATTTACACACGCCAACGAAGGATAAAAATATAATTAAGATGAAACGCGAACACAAAGCAGCACGTACTCTAGGCATCATTATGGGTACCTTTATTTTGTGCTGGTTGCCCTTTTTTCTATGGTACGTAACGACGTCGCTTTGCGATGTTGAGACTTGTCCGTGCCCAGATATCGTCGTATCGATCCTTTTTTGGATAGGATATACCAATTCAGCCCTAAATCCGCTTATATATGCCTATTTCAATCGAGATTTCCGGGAGGCCTTCAAAAATACGTTACAATGCGCATTTTGCTCACTTTGTCGGAGGGAACCGTCGGACCTTGAGGCGCTCGACTTCCGTAGACCGTCACTGAGGTGAGATATAAGGTGCTTGTTGTCAGCTTTTGCTTATATTGAAAATACGTATTACGTAAATTTGCATAACTTGAAGATAATACTTTAAAAGATAATAATCTATATTGGATATGTGCAGTGTGATATATTAAACATTAACTAAAATAATTGATTATTAATAGATAATTAATTAATACTCTAATAAATTTCGTGTACATACATAATTGAAACTATAAATAATTTGAAAAAAATTTTATTTATTAATTTTAAAAAAATATTATTTTGAAACAAAATATTTACACATTACCATTTTTCATGCTCATATAAGCCTTTTTATATTTTCATATACAAAATTAGTTTTAAGCATGATAGAAATCATTTCATTACTTCAAATCAATTGCTTTATTATTCAACGAAAATGTTAATTTATATTGTTATATAGCACTTCATTTTCATTTGATACAATAAGTCAATAAATTATGTTTAGAAAAGTGATTTTCCATTGTTTCAAAATTGTTGTAACATTACAATCTGTAATAAAACGTATTATAATCCATATAATTAAAATTAGAAATATAATACAAATATTTTTAAAAAATACCAACGCATTTCACATAAATGTCGATATATATTACATTATGATAACTTACAAGTATATAGTAGTTACGTTATATAGTTTATAGTTGTATAGTTGTGTAGTGTATAGTTACAAGTAAAAAAGACTGTATATAATATGTTTGTGTATAAGGGTTATATACCGTTCTTAATTTTTATTTTGACAAAATCATTCAATATAATAATGTTTTAACATAAAATTATTAATTGAAAAATTTTAAATGCTGGTATAAAATTTTTTATATGATTAAATAATATCTGACTTAAAATTATTTTTAAATTAAAACTACTTTTTGTTAGCAAGTTTCGTTACTAAACTATAGAAATTATTAATATGATTTACAATGCATAAAAAATATTCTAGTTAAATACTTATAAATATAACTTCAATATTTTAGAAAATAATTTAGATTTTGAATTCACATGATAGATTGATTTAATTATTTTGTTTTTATATAAATAATATTAGTGTTTAAAAGTATACTTATATCTAGGGTTCATCTCTATATTGCTCTATCAACTTTACTACAACATCAACTTTATGAATCTTTAAACTGGAAAATATAAAGATTATGAACATAATCTTTAATGTAATTGTTTTTCAATATCATAGTTTTATAAATATTATTATGTCGACGTTAGTTTTTAATGCTATAGTAATTAATAAGACTTTAATTGAATTAGTCATTTTAGTAAAATTCGGAACTTTTAATTTAAGATCGTATACTTGATTTAACATAGAAATTCAGATTACATAAGATAAAACATATGTATTATAATTAAAGTATCTGTTTAAATTATTATGAAATAATTAAAAAATTTTCAAATATAATATATTTGATTTTTAAAATTAATATATTATTTTAATTATTAATTATTAAATTAATAAAGTATATCTAGTATATTAATTTATTTGTTTGTATGTATATTAAAGAATTATGGAATTTAAAATATGATTGTTATTTTTAAAATATATTATTTATATATTTTCGATAATTTTACCAAATAATTCTGAATCAAATAACTATACACGAAAAAAATTATCATAATATATGTTAAAATTTTATAAAATTTGCTCTAACTGTATAGTATAAAAAATGAAAACTAGAAAAGAAATTATATAACCTTGTGATTGTTAATTTTCAAAATAAATATTACGAAACTTGGTTAAAAAATTTGAAGTTTACATAATCAGCAACTGCATTAACCATAAACATAGAATTATATGTATAAAAAATTAATTATAATTTAATTTCCGCTTTTTGATCTGTTATTTCAGGTACGATGACCGCACGAAGAGCATATACTCGGAAACCTATGTAAAACATAACGACCGAAGAACGTCGAGTGAATTCGGCAGCAGTCTCTGAGATCAGAAGAAATTCGGGTCTACTCTCTGCCCAAAAGTGCAAAAGCAGTTGTGTGACCTAGAAAATGAATTATCCCCCCCGATTGTCATCGTCGTACCTTCATCTTCTTGAATTCTCTCTTAATATAGTGCAATAAACAGTAAATTTTTTATTTTGGACGCGTGCATGTGTGTGTCAATGATCTTTATATATAATAAATGATTACAACACAATATTATGCGTATTATGTACACATACTTTTATTTGTTTTTTTCTTCAAATAGACGAAAAAATAAAAGAAGAATGTGTCAGAATTGTAAATAAACCAATCCGCATAATAAATATACCTATAAACATACATATACATATGTATACACTGCATATATGCATGTATATGCATGTATATGCATGTTTATGTAGATATGTGTACGTGCTTGCGTGCGTGCGTGCATGCGTGCGTGCGTGCGTGCATGCCTGTGTATGTGGCGTATATACGTATATTTTAAGATCTGTGCACACGTATGTATATGCGTACATAAATATGTAGCATACCTGTACTAAAAATGTTAATATATTACATTATCCAAGATGATAATGCTTTGAAGTTTCTTGATGAGCCTCTTCCACAAGTGATCATTTAAGAGGATGAATAATGTGCACGAAGATGATAATTATAGGAAATTCAGAAATTGCTAGGCTGTAACATTCGTATTCGACGATATAGCCAAACTCGTTAGAATGATATTATTCGCATAATGTTTGTGCTAGGTTTGTAATTGCATATTGCCAAAGTTAGCTTGTAAGTGCGTGCTTCATGTTTTATTTCATGTGTGGTTGTGTAAATATAAAAGAGTGAGTTTAAAAACTAAAATAATGATTCTCGCCGGACCCTATGACCGCCCGAAGTCGAGCAATGTAGAACATAATGAAACTGATATTATCAATGCAATAACTATTTTATGTTTTTAAAATTTTATTTCGTGCAGGAAGTATTATAGGCAATCTCTATCTTACCTTACGACTCAAAAACTTTGGGTATAAAAATAATCCGATTTAGTAAAATGAATTCTTTTAGCAGTCTAATTTATTAATGAAAGAATAAATAAATGTTAAAAAGTAAGAATAAATATTTCTTATTAGGTACCAAAGAAAAAAGAAGTTTAAAACTTCTTGGCTCATAATGATAGAATAGATATGAAAATATTTAAGATTTATATTTAATATTTTATTATGGTAACACATAAAAAGCTATTACTTTTACTTTTATCTTTCTGAACATATTTATCTCTATATATGATTTAAAAAATAACTTTTAAAAATGTATTTCATGCCAGAATAACATGTTTCGTATACTTTATTGTATAAAACATGCCAAAAATAAAAATAAATATTATAATGCTTCCTTGTTAAAAAAAAACAACAAAGATTTATTATGAAATGCAAATACTAAAAATATTAATTTATCTTTTTGAGAAACAAAAAATTCTCGTTAATGTTAACAATAATTTTACCTTAGAGTAAGAATTTAATCTACATGAATGATTCTAATGAGAATTACATTCCACTTCATCACATTTGAAAAGGAAATTCTAAACAAAATTTAGGTATAAAATCATTGAAAGACCATGTGTTTTACAAAATTATAGAAAATTTATAGAAATAATTTATATACATATAACTGTGATTGATCTCGGTGCGTTCCTATCTCATATGCGAAAATTCACATTTACATTCGCGCAACAATATGCTACATCATAAATTCATGTCAGATAATCATGCAAAGGAAGATAAACTACCTAATATGTCGTTTTTTCTACGAAATGTATTTAACTGTTATGTATCGGAAATATTAATTCAATTACTCATGAATGTTTTAGCTAGTAACAAATGTTTTTTTAATGTACTGGATACGTCAAACCTCTTTATAAATATGAATGGACAATATAGACAATTAACTGAGAATAAGGAACGTGCTGAATCTTGATTTCAATTGTCACACAAATTTTATGAAATATGAATAATAACTACATAAACTTATCACAGGCAGACATTTATTTCAACCATGTATTTATTTCAGTATAAATTTAAAAATGATCAAATGTTTTGTTTTATTTTTTATCTTGAAAAAGTCATAGCTGTGTTAAAATGTATAAGTCAAATCGCATATGCATATGACTTCGGGCAGTGTCTTAAAAAATTTAAATAAAATTTTATTGGAAAACTTGTGCAAAAAAAATAAAAATAAAAAAGTTTTATGAACCTACGCATACTCGATACTCAAAATTCAGCTGGCAATGAATAAATATAGGCATTATGAACTATAATGTTATATTGTTTTAAAAAGAAATTTTGAGCCTGACTATTAATGTTGTTTTATTTTAAAAATATGGAATTTTCGTTAAGATATTATTAGGAGCAAGTAGTTAATTAGGGTTGACTAATTTCATTTTCATGAGAAAAGGTCTTATTTTGCGGTGAAAATATTCCAGCTAAATATATTAATTAAATTTTTTATAAATATTGAAATACTAAGTTTATTAATTCCTAAAATATACTAGTTTTGTGTTTATTAATCTGTTATTATTTTTTCCAGACTGTTAAATTATAATTTAACTCACATTATAAATATGCTTTATTAGAAAGCAAACATTTTTATGTATTTATACAAATGAAAATATGAAAATACTTTATTCAGATTCAGTTATTTATATTATTTAATAAATAAATATATTTTCTCTATAGGGAATAAACACAGTATTCAGATTATAGAACAAATTAAATCTATCAACTCAAATACTCAAAAAACGAAAATTCCACAAAGAAAAATAGTTTATAGTCTTTTAAAAATAGACTCGAAATTTCTTGAATACTTAGAAATTAAAAAATAAATTTATTAATAGTGTTTTTATGACATTTTACGTTAAATATGAATAAAATGTGACTATTTATTTTTGGCAACCAACGCAGCTTGTTTCCACATGGCGCACAACATAAATGTACACATGTGAACATAAATTAAAAATATCGCACTTTATATTATAGAAAAAAATTTTTTTTTTAAAGTTCTTGCCACATTGACGCGATGAATTTACACATTGTTTCCATGAGTTTCTATTTAATGTATGAGAAGCTTAGGTCGTATATTGATAGTTAATAGTAAGTTAGTTTTTAATTTATAATTTTCCAAAAAAATCTGTAGTGCTAATGTTTTTTTTAATATTTCTTTTTAATATTTTTAAGATCCTTATGTAAACAAAAAACTCTTTATGCCGGGATTATAATTTATATGAAAAGTATACTTTCAATATTAATTCAACGAATATTACTAGATGCTAATAAATTGGAAAAAAACAGTTTAAAAAGTATGAAATATTAACTTAATAAAAATATGAAATCGTCATATATAAACAACTATTATTATTCATTATTTATTTTTAAGTTTTTACTCTAACAATTTAAATATAAATATAATATAACGTATAATATTTCAGTAATAATAGTCTTCCTACGAAAAATAAAAAAATTAATACAATAAGGTTAGTTTAAGTAGAAATACTCAATTAATTTTTATAATAAATAAAGAAAAAATATTTATTATTTAAATATTTTTATTTTTATTGAAGCGATTGAAAATATTTTCGTGGCAATCAATCAAAATTATTGGAATTATTGTCTGCCATTTGAGCACTTCAAAATTTATTTCCTTTCATTACATTATATTATAGAATTTGTTTTTTATTTATTTACTGTATAATTTTAAATCTCAAAATGATTCCAATTGTGTAAATACAGGTTGTAAATATATTATGTACATATTATTTAAGAATATTAAATAAAATCTAATATAATGTGTACTTTTCGTAAAATCAAATAATTAAGTTAGATAAATAAGTATTTGTTGATTATTAGATATATGTGCAATAATTGTCGATCAAAATGAAACATTTAACGCTCATATAAATTACTTTCTTTTACCTGCTCTGTATTATTTAATATATTTTATATTAATATTAAAGAATAAGACAATTAATACGTCAATGAAGTAAGAAGTGAACTTACCTGTATAGAAATATTTATCGAGAAAAATTTTATGATTTACTTGTTAAAACATTATTAATTTAAAAAAGAACATATTATTTATTTTGATCTTTATATATTTTATTAAATGGATACGTTCCATAAAACTGTACGTGTAGAAAGAAATTATACTTTAACAAAGTTACCATATACAGATTTATTGAAATGTATTATAAATATAATTATATGAATGCGTAATAATTAGTTAAAAATATATTTTATAATCTTATTATGAATGCTGCGAGATATTAAAAAATAACAAAGTAAAAAAGCAATTGAAAGAGTGAAAGAGAATTTTAAGATTTGTATTTTTTAAAGAAATGTGTAAATATTAAGCTTGTTTCTAAATTACGTGAATTGCGCTTATTTTTTTTTAAACGTAATACTATACGACTTACAACTCGAAAGAAAAAAAATAAAAATAATTATTAACTGAAATACCAATGTTTCATACGTGTATTTAATAGTCAATGGTAATTTTTTCTCTCGAGTCTCAGTCACGTCACTATGAACGGACGTGAAAACAAATGAAAACTGATAAATGACATAGAATAAACAATAACTTGTAATACTTTTTTTAATCTTCTAATCTATGCGACTAATCATAAAAATTCACTTATATTTATTGTTTTAGATCAAAGAGATTTTAGTTCTTGTATAATTCTTAAAGAATACAATAAGTTAATTGAACGTATATATATATATATATATATATATATGTATATATATTCTTTAAAAATTTATTGAAAAAATATTTGTTGATTATTAATAAAATCAGATAGTAAAAAAGTAAAAATATATCTGAATGATCGATTAAAAAAAAATAATGTAAAGAAATAGTTTCATAATATATAAAACGGAAGCACCACCGACACAAATAAATGATAGGCAAGAATGAGAAATTTAATTTTTCTCAAATTAATGTTTTTGCCATATTCAAGGAAATTATAAGAAAAAGAGAATAAATCAGCATTACCCTGTTTATTATTTTTCAGGCATCGTTTAAGTGAAAACAGCACGAATCTGGTCAGGCACTGGTTACATTGCAACGTTAAACTAGCTGTTTTCGAAGACAGGTTTTTATTTATATTTATATATATTTTTAGCCTTAAATCTTATCTTATCTCAATTAAAATTAACATTTTCATTATTTATAATATAATTGATTA